ATGAAGAGTGTACACAGTGTAAATTGACTAATAATAACATAGAACTCTAATTTGGATACCATTAAAATTTCTTAACATTGTACATATATCAAACTACAGTACATGTATTGTAGCCTACCTTAAATATTGTCCGTAGCCAGGGGGGGGGAGTTTGCAGGGTTCGATCGAACCCCCCCCCCTCCCCGGCCAAAAATTCTTTCAAAATCATACAGTTTTTCACCATCAAGTGATTTTAGCCATATTTGAGCCAACATTGTCAAATATGAACCCCCCTGGAAATTTTTCCTGGCTACGGGCCTGACATACCTCAACAAAACAAAATAGAATTTGACCCCCTCCCTCACTATAATTAATCAAGTCACTGGACATAAAAAGCTTGTACTTTAATCATAGTATAAACCATTGCTAAAGGATAATTAAGCATTTATCTTCTTAGCTTTGCCTTATACAGGTATTTTACAGGTATTTTCATGCACAAAGGTGATCTATTTTAATCAAGGATGATATCCTATCTGATGAAACGCTTCCTTAACTTTTTCTTAGTAATTCATAAATAGATAGATAGATGAGGATGTGTTTACACACCCAGTTATAATATAAATCAGGTGAAAAACAGATTTATGACAAATCTTAAATAAAATATCAAGTGCAGGTGAAGAAGTCTAGCTACAAGCCCTTGTGAATCCCCCCCCCCTGGCTCCCTACTATATACCCCCCCCAGTGATGTGTTGGAGAAGTAGAAGAGGGTGAAGGGAGGAGGTGGTCCCCAGTCTTGAAGCAATAGCTGCAGATCAAATGGCTTAATAGATTAATTATAAGTAAATTAATTAGCTGTAGATTAAATAGCCGTTGATCAAATAGCTGTGGATCAAGTATCATGGCTGTTGATCAAATGATTGTATATCTAATAGCTGAAGATCTGATATACAATCGTGACCGGTATTTGTTCATGTACAGACTTAAAAAAGAAATAGAAAGTGGAAATCCTTTGACACCCAGATAACCTCACATTTCAACTTTTCACATGAATATAGAAAACAATTTGGAAGAGTAAAAAGTGGCATTCAGCCGATCATCACATCATTTTTCTGTATTAGAAAGGAATTGATAACAGCCTGTAAACTCTCAAAATGAAAGAGTCTGAGAAGGAGGAGGCCGACTTCAAATTGACTCTTTATTTACAGACTAAAAAGCTTTCGTGTCAGAAAGTTGCCAACACAATCCAAAATATGGCTCCCCATGTCAATTCAATATACAAAACACAGACAGTTTGGGAGCGAAGGAAAAGTGGTGGGGTGGGGGGATGCAATTCAAATTGACTTCTTATTTACTGACTAAGAAGTGGAATGCAGTCTTGTGATAACCCCATGCCTTCACTTGTCAGTTAAATATACAAAAACATATTCTTTGAGATTATTAGATATTTGTGGTTTTTTGGTATTCCTTCAATGCGAGAAGTACCCTGATTCCCATTAACTGGTTATATACAAGTACAGCGAAACCTATAAAGTGAAACACCTCTAGAAATAGAATGCTTATGTTACTGGAACACTTTTCTGAGTCCATTCGAGTATGGTACAACATAGTAAGTATATGGGACTGTTTTAGGGGAGGCATCAAAAGTTCGATGTCGGATAGAAAACTAAATAAATCTAGTTATGGGGGGAGGGGTTCAAACCCATTTCAGTTTGCTATCCGACAAATTTCAACATTTCAAATTTTTGGCAATTTCAACTCAGAATGCCTTGGAATGGTTTAAAAATAAAAATTTTACCTGATGCTTTCTTAGTCAAGATCATTCCAATGGATTGTATTCTATCAATAGTTGTTAAAAGCTGCAAATTACGATAGGAATTAACAAAAACTAGATCGTGTTTAGCAATAATTTTTCAAATTCTCAAACCGGAAGTAAGCGATCAACTTTCACGGTATTTAGTTTTTGGGGGGAGGGGGGGGGTCTGAGTCAAAACTAGATTTATTTAGTTTCCGATCCGACATCGAACTTTTGATGCCTCCCCTTAGTCTATAGTACCATATTTACGGTACCATATAGTACTGTTGCCAAAACAGTACTGTTGACTTCTACCAAAACACAGGTTCCTTTATCACTGACAATCATGAGAGCTATATATATCCCACATTTCTTGCACAAGCCTTGTTTGGAACAGGTACTCTGTAGTTGACCTATTTCTTAACATGTGACTTGACCACATCCTGGTGTACCATAGCAGTTTCTCCATTTCACTTTTATTTAGGATAAATGCACCCTTTTCAATGTTTTATTTACTAGTTAAAAGAGAGCTTCATGGCTTTACCTAAAATTGAGCAGGCCCATAGCCAGGGGGAGGGGGGAGGGGGGTTTGCATGGTTCCGGTGAACCCCTCCTAGCCAAAATTCTTTCAAAATCATGCAGTTTTTCACCATTTTGAGCACTTCTCAAGCGATTTTTGTCATATTTGGGCCAAACTGTCAACTGTGAACCCCCACTTGAAATTTTTGAAAACTGAACCCCCTTGGCAAATCCTGGCTACGGGCCTGTTGAGGCCATGTTAATGAGAAACATCCTTTTCAATTTGATTAATAAATCTTTAAAAGTGAGCTTCATCTGTAATAGATATACAGTACCGTAGTTATAATTACTATACAAGCCTCTTGAATCTTAAGTATAAGAATGGCTTCACCCAAATAAAGACCATGTTAATTAACCTTTAGCGTGCTGCCGGCGGACTCGTCCGCCGAGACTAAAATGTCTCTCACAACTGCCGGCGGACCCGTACGCCCGATTTCAAACTTTTAAAAACTTTACTTTTTCGCGCCATTCGTATTGTCCAATTAGATTGCCCGATTTATTCAGTGCCTAACATGACTTCCTGTTGACCTAGAAATGGCGATATTTCGAAAAATAATTCTCAATTCAACAATTTAAACAGTGTTTTAGTCGTTTTAAGTGAACAAATCGTACAAAATGGCGGACAAATACGATCACAACGAAAATGCTGAGGAAATAGATTACGATTTCGAGCTCTTTAGGCTCTTGGAAGCCGATAACGGTCATCGAAAATAGAAACTAGAATATTTTCTGAATTGAAAAATTGAACATTCGATCGCTGCAAATTCAGATTTGGATTCTGACCAGACGAAGAGGCGGAGCGGCGGATTCCGGAGGAGTATTCATGGTATATTTATGCCCAGTCGTGTTAATGTACGATAAAATTCATGAGAACATTTTTTTCATGAGCCAGGCCACTGTATCTTCCCTTTGTGAAAATTTTATCCAGATTCATTCAGTAGTTATTGAGATATTAATTATTTAGTCCAGGCATATCATTTTTTGCACTCTTTGAAAAATAAGCCAGTTGCGTGGGATATATTTGCTGAAATAAGGCAGCATGGTAAAGGTTAAAAAGGTATCTATGGTTTGATTTTGAATCTTAAAAGAGGGCTTCATTGATACGAGCAGCCTCTTAAACTTCAGGGTATAAGAGGTGATGGGAAGAGTATCAGAATGACTTGACCCCAAATTCAGGTCATGTCTTATCTGGTGGTCTACAGGCTTATCTCAGGATATCCCATCTTCCCTTCAACCCTTACAATACAACACACCCATTAAAAAAACTACCCTTACAAAAAAAACAAGTTAATACAGTACAGTAAAAATCAAACTCTCATTTTGATATAATCTTCTGGCCCAAATATAACAAGATAAATATCAAATCAAAAAATCAAAACTTTAATTGTGGGAATGAATAAAAAAACCACAGAAAAGTCACATGTAGTATAAGGCAGGAAATGAACAGAGAGGGCTGTTATCCTTTTAACACACATATACACATGTTGGAGATACCACAAAACTTTTGATCCTTCAACCTAAACCAATTAATTATACCCCTGCATAAAGTGTCCGAGTGGTCATGCTTTTAGAGTGGAAAATCAGAGGGAAAGAGAGGAATTCTGACGGAATAGTAGAAAAATTCATGACGGCTGAATTTTCGATTTAGTAATTAATGATGAAACACCTGAAATATACAAATTTTATGGAGAACAATGCAGATATAAATGTGGGCAAACAGAACAGTGTGGAAGGCCAGTAATTGAAAAGGAGAAAAAGATATATCAAAAAGTTAGAAAAAGCACAAACTACTATTTGGTTTCACTCAAAGAACAACAGCCTTTAAAAGGCATGTGTATTTTCATTAAAAATCAAACTCCTAAGTGAGTAGACCCCTTATCTACTGATCCAATACAGCACAGTTAGATAAGGGGGTCAGGCCCGTACCCAGGGGGGAGGGGGGGGGGGGGTTCGCAGGGTTTGGGCAACCCCCCCTGGCCAAAAATTATTTCAAAATCATGCAGTTTGTCGCCATTTTGAGCACTTCTCAAGTGATTTTAGCCATATTTGGGCAAAAATTGTCAAATGTGAACCCCCCTGGAAATCTTTGAAAACCTAACCCCCCTTGGAAAATCCTGGCTACGGGCCTGGGGGTCCAGTGTCTTGAAGCAAGACTACTTTGAATTATTTTAGAACTCTGATATAAGGCTTTTGTTGAATACCCTTTCCCATAGGTAAGCCTAGTCTAATTACCATACTCTGACATTCCCAATGTTTTGAATACCTAAGAGTAATCGTAATATGCATGGAATACATGGAATTCATGTTATTTTAGTTCCTCCAATAATGTTACATTCATGTTTGCTATCCTATACATTGGTTACACAGTTTTTATCTCAAAAACAAGATAAGTGAAATACTGGAATGCTTCTAAAGAACATCGGTTTCTAAATACTTCAGCCTCATTGACTTTCTTTGGAACGATACTAAGATATCAAAAATCTGTGGAATTTGTTTCATTTTTGTTGTCATTCTCAAAAAGAAGCTAATTTTAGAAAAGTCAGCCGTAATTTTTCAGAAAAGGTTTCCACATTTTCAAAAATGAGCCAAAATTTTCAAAATAGAAAGAATCAATTTACAATCAAAATCTAACCAGTCGCAAAAAGCTTACCTTCATTTTCCATCCATGACGTCTCATACAATGCCCCCTGCTGGTCACTTACAACATTAACTAAACCATTACATACTTCCGGACTGTTTATATACTGCATTTTAACGGGGCTCTCTAATGTCTGTCCGCCACAAGAGGGCACTGTTGGTTGAGTTGATGGGACTATCCGCTGAGGGGAAACACCCGGGGCAGTTGTACCATTTATGGGACCGCCATTTTGAATATACTGCATTTTCGGATTAATACTTTCTTGTTGCACTGTTTGGGTATTTGAAGGCTGAGGTTGGGTCGGAGTATATCCATTGATATTTGGTGAATATCCATTGATATTTGGAGAATATCCATTGATTGACTGCATAGTACTTTGATTGTTATTCCCCGCCTGTTGAGTCTGGGGTGGTGGTACAATTGTATTACTATGGTTACCACTTGGTGGTAGTACCACTGCGGCACCATTATTAGCACCATTACACATCCCTCCATTTGGCGTTGCTATAGTTGCATATCCATTTTGAACGTAATATCCATTTTGGGGAGAGTATCCATTCATGACTGAATATCCATTCGCGTATGATATATTATTAGGGATATACCCAGAGCAATCCAATGGGGTCTGAGCAGGGATAACGCCACCCCCAACCCCACCCCGGGGATTCTCTATATATATACTGCACATCACCCTTGGCAGAGGTGTTATAGCATCACTTATATGTTTATTCGTTGATTTCAGTGATGGGGTATAAGGTACGTAATAGTCTGGTGTCAGGAGATCCATTCTCCCTCCATTTGTGTTAAATCTGCTATAGTTATACTGAATCTGAATTTTATAGTCTATCAGGCTCTAACTGGTATACTACAATTAGATATATAACAAGCTAAGATTCTCCGATACTGTACTTGTACGAAAACAACTAGACTGTTCTAAGTATCAAGTCTATACCAATAACAAAATGCAGTCAAACCAAGTAAGTCCAATCCTCAAAATGACATATTCCAATTGGTTGGCTCATTTAAATAAAAAATTTCTCTTCAGTGAGTAACCTATATCTGAGGTCATAATCTTAAAAAGAATTAATGAACTTATCGGAATATTTCCAAGTTTTGCAATAGTTTCACGTAGTGCAACAGTTACAAATAGTTTCATTTCCACCTTCCTTTTTAGTGATGAAAGGTTAGAAACTATGAGTTCATATTTTCATACGAGATCCGTGATTTCATTTTCGAGTTGTTATGTTATATGATGATGATATCTTTAACATGTTATCCTTTATGACGTCCTGTGCATTTATCTGATTGGTTCATTTTAATGTATCAAACGGTCCTCACATGTTGCTTTGTTTTCGACGATACAGAAACTTTTCCCTGGATGAATCTATGATCGTTCAAGTATTTCTTAATTGTTCTGTTTACGGGAAGTTGTAGATTTGGAACCCAGTTCTAGTTCTACTTGTTTAGTAATCCTTAAAGTTTCCGTTTACAGATATTTACCGATAATATTCAATCCTATCTTTGAGTCTAAACTGCTATGTTTCATCCATCCGTTTTCTGTCTTAAGATTACAAACCTAAAAGTTTTAAACATACAAAGATGGACCAAGTGTTGGTTAGCTGTCAAAAACCTTTGAATTATGTACAAATCTGCCTTGTTTATCTCCCTGGGAAAAACTAGCCTAATGGTGTATATCAGTTAGGTCAGTCTGCCCTTTAAGTGGTTAGGGGCAATATGAAGCCAAAAATGGACTAGATCAATGAACTATATGAACCTTTATAAAAAATTCAAAGATGTACTTTAGAGTGATCTAAAATAAATCCGCAAGATCTTAGCATGACCCTTGCAGAGAGCACTCAAAATATGTTAGTTGGCTAAATTTGATTGTTTGTTTGTTTGTTTATTTGTTTGTTTGTTTGTTTGTTTATATAAATTCCATTGAGGACCTAGTCTACAAATACCCTTTGTCTTCAAGATGAGATTTAATATAATAGTGAATTATCTGAATAAGGCTAATCCGTACAGAGGAGCAGAGGCTAGGAATTACTACAAAAAATATTGAGAAGGGTAATCCAAAAGAGCACTCAAACGAACACGCCTTTTTTGGGGTAAGGATTGAATTCAAAAACTGAAGAAATGTTAAAGAAAATGATGATGAGGATTTGGAAGTCAGTAGGAGATGAGAAAAGAATATGGGAGGGATTGAAAGTGATGGAGAGGAGCCATACTTCAGAAAGGAGATAGGGGAAACTGAAAATGGCAAGGGTGGTATTGAGTTAAGAGGCTTCTCCTTTGGTATACAATGGGGTATAGTTGATATGGATACTTAACTGTGGCATCACCTAAACCAAGCAAGCAACCAATCAACCAACAAACAATCAAGCAAGCAATCAACTAAGCAAGCAATCAAGCAACCAACCAAACAACCAACCAACTTACAAACCAATCAACTAACTAACCAAACAACCAACAGAAAGTATGTTTCACAATGCGATAGACCACCATACTGTAATAACAACGACATAAAGGACAGTGACACGCACTGTAGAGTAACCATGACACCAAGAACAATGATACCAAAAACAATGACACCGTATGTTCCTTCAAGACATGATGGCAGTATCACATTACAAAATAACACTATATCATAACAATAACGAACAGAACTATAACACCATATTGTAACAATTACACCTTTAATCAATGTAATGCAACATCCGGAGAAAGCCTGAAAGAGTTGAGAAAGAGTTCAGCTTAACGTTACTATGGCAACATATTCCATGTTGCAGTAGAACAAGAGCCATCATTTACAGTTTAATCTACAGACATATTAATCTTAGGTTTTCTCCTTATCCCATGGAACACAAGCCTTGAGCTCAGGTTTTATAGCCATTATTAGCGCAATATTGTCTCCGATTAGCTATTCTAGTCCTTCATTTAGACATTGTTCAGGCCCGTAGCCAGGATTTGCCAAGGGGGGGGGGTTCAGTTTTCAAAACTTTCAAGGGGGGTTCACATTTGACAATTTTGGCCCAAATATGGCTAAAATCACTTGAGAAGTGCTCAAAATTAACACTGAAAGAGGGGGATTTGGGACTTCTTCTTTGGTAAGTAGATGGGTGAATATGTACAATATGTGATATGGTTGATCATTTCAGCTATTCTAGTTCTTCATTTAGACATTGTTCTCTCTCCCTCTCTCTTACTTTTTTAACATGAGTAAGCCATTAGTCACATTTGCACCAAATCATCAGCTGGCGCCTGGCCGATTGAGTATTTTGTTCAAAACTGAATATAATTTTGAACAAAATACTCTATTGGTCAGGAGCCGGTCAATGAATCGGAGCAAATATGACTCAGGCATAAGAGAGAAGAGGGTACTGGGTCTAACTTAGCTTGAAATTTGGATGTTATCTCAACTGTAGTCTCTATATCATTTCAAACCCCTCCCCAGTACTTCCGCGACCGATATAGATTACTACTCTATTTTCCCAGCTCCTGAGCAAGGTGCATGGCACTGATCCAAGACTAGTAGAGGGTATACATGTCATGGAAGATGACATGTGTACCCCATCTATATCAATAAGAAAACCTATCTGATGAACACCTCTCAAACGAAACCTCTCTTATGAAAACCTCGTTGATTAAAAACCCCTCTAATGAACTATTTTGTGATACCTCTCTTTGATAAAAACCTCTCTATGGAATCCTGTCCACTTAAATTAAAAGATAAAACAAAGAAGACCCTAACAGCCATAAATCCAGGGATACCAGCCAATGAAGTATTAAAAGTCTAGACTCTTTAAAGTGCAGCCCTTCATTTCATTGCTGTATAACATAAGAACATTGGATCATTAAATATCTAGAGATCATTATATTATACAGCAAGCTGTAGTCTAGCATCAAGCCCTTGCACATAAGGTCTGTGTGAGAAGGTGTTCAGTCAAGAAGGGGGGGGGGGGGGGTGGGTAGCTAGAGGTTTTGTAGCGAGACTATGCAAGCTGCATTATATATATATATCTTTTATTGACTCTCTGATGTCATTACAATGACATATTAGTCACTAAAACTAAAAACTACAATCTACAAAACTATAAATGCGGAATAGCCAAGGACTGAATTAGTAAACAAGCACAAAATCATGATCATAATTTTAACAATTCAAAAAATTCCTGAATACCCTTTGCAAAAAGTATGACTTTTTACCTCTAAAGGGCGTCATTTTCCTCCTAAGTAACAAATCATTCTTTCCAATCACAACCCATATCATACATTATCTACCTATTTAAAGCTGACATTAGTTTTACTCTCACAAGGCCATAAAGGTCTACAAAACTGTAATTATAATCCAAATCTTAAGAGGGTAGAATTCTAATGATAACTCTCAGGGTCTAGACATGACTGAATTTATATTTCTTGTAATGGTGAGATGTTTTTATGTAAAACCACGACTTATAATGGGAGCAAATGTTAACACATGTCTTATTGTATTGTATAATCTTACATGTGTTTATTGTATAATATTGTAAATAATTAGGTATAATTCTATACATTAATATCATTCTTGGCATAAAATCAGAAAGGAATCCAGATTAACTGTGAACTTATTGTACTTTATCCCATATTTAGTAAGCAAAGAAGATAGCAGAGAGGTATAAAAGTAATATCCCATCGGCAGGAAAGATAAATTTTATCTCATGATACTATTAATTCCTAGTGACTAACACCCATATTCGCTCCCTCCCAGTAAATGAACTTTATATTTCCACTCATAGCTGATTTGTAAAGTTGATTGCACTCTACATAAGCATCTGAACATTCTTCTCGGTTTCTATACAGCTCTTAACTCTTGTTTTCAAGAATCAATGTCAAACTTTCCCTAAAAATAGACTTTATTATGCTATCAAGTGTTATCTAGATAATATTGTCAATTTCAAATCAAGTTGTTTTTTCAAGAATACTATAAAGCAGATAAACGCAACAGACTTTCGCCCCCCTCCCTAAATTGTAATTCCTTACATTTGTGGATGTACCTTGATACGCTAACCTGGCTCCCAATGTCATCTAACACATCCGTACCAGTACATGTCACCAACTGGCATTCTTAAGGTAAATATAAACAGAACAATTGCTTTGAAATAAATGATTTTTTCATAATATGGTGATAGAAAAATGTTGAATGGAGATAAATGATGACGATGTTTACTGAGTTAATGATGATGGTGACACCAGGTTTGTGTAATGTCACAAGTACCCTAACCCAGAGCCTAACAGTAAAATCTGAGCCTCTGAGAAGAAGACATATATTTACTGAGTTAATGATGATGGTGACAACAAGTTTGAGAAATGTCACAAGTACCCTAGGCTAGGAGTAAAATTTGAGCCTCTGAGAAGAAGAGATATGTATACATTTTTGAAGATGATCAGAACTTTATACATTTTACTGGATTTCAAATATTAATAAAGACCTCTTTTAGTAATTGCTAAGTTGAACTCTAAACACAAAGGGAAGGGTCAACCAACAATGGAGACTTTATGGTATAATAAGCAAAACGAGTACCCTGCGTGCAGAGTCTAGTTAAACTACACTCTGCCTAGTAGAGACCATATTACAGTTTAATAGCCCCGCTCCCACGGCGGGTACCGGTGACAGTTTGGGTAATAAATCACTTTTGACCTATGCGCTGACCTTTCTTCCACTAATCAGCGAGCTTGAAGAAACATACACCAAATGTGTTCTAATTAAATATGCGCATGTCATTGGTCAATTCCAGGCTCGACGATGACGTCAGAAGGAATGACCATATATAGAACGTCGGTCAATAATGGCCGACGAACACTGATTGGCGCGGTGAGTTCACAGGTTTATTTTAGTTTGAAAGAGTGAAGACGAAGCTCTCTTTTAAGAAGTGAAGTCAAACGAATGCAAAGGGTACAAAACGAGTGAAAATTGAGAAATTGTACCTTACCTTCACTCTTAATTATTCAGACAAGACACTCTTCCATTTCCATTAGCATTGCTTCATTAAAGGGGCAATATTACACAGAATCCAAGAAATGAGTCAAAACTAAAGCAAGAGAAAACTAATATCAATTTAACACATACTTTTTAAGTGATATCACCTATTTATTTAACTGACACATACCTGGTGTCAATGGGACTATTAAGATAACTTCATGCAGACTGTTAAGGTAGGCATTGATTGCACATAAACTTGGTATTCAAGCTTACATGTAAAAGGTTGAAGGCAGATTCTTCAATCTACTGGGGGTTACCTTAAGGTAGGCGCAGTTTAACAAATGTTAGTCTTGGTTTGCACATGATGTCAATATACAAGCATATTTTATTTATATAGTCTGCGTTAATAGGGGGGAGGGGGTTCGATGGGTTCTAATCCCAAAAATATTTTCAAAATCATGCAGTTTTTCACCCTTCTGAGCACTTTTTAATTGATTTTGGCCATTTTTGGACCAAAATTGTCACGAGTGAACCCCCTTGGCAAATCCTGGCTATGGGCCTGTGTGCATTATCAGAAAATTATGTCAAGTTAATAATCATCAGTTTTATCACCCTCTTATTATGACATCATAATTTCCATAGTAACGACATTAGATTAAAGAGACTTCATAGCCTCTGGAAATGTACTCTTAGATTTCCAGTCCTACCTTAACCAGACTTCAACCCCTGCCATATACCAAATAGTCAACTCAAATTTAGTCTATGAAGCTCTGATTTTTTAAACATATTAGATAATTCAGAATGAGTTCAAGGTCTGTATTTGTTATCCGATACATAACTTATCTTTACTGACAAAACATTCACATAGCCTATCTTTGAGAAAACTCGTGCCAAGTTCAACATTATTCAACAACTTAGATATAGTTTCACTACAAACCAGCTTGTACAAAACTATCTTACATATAAAGAGGAATAAAACATTTCTTAAAGCCTTATCCAAAGGTAAATTTGTTAAAGCCCTATTGAAAGCTACGTAGAATTCTCAGAGCTTTATCTAAAGGTACATTTCTTAAAGCTCCATTTAAAGTGATATAACATTTCTTCAAGTCCTAATTGATCACGACAACATTTCTTTCTTGCCGTTGAAGAATACAAGGATTTTTTCGTTTATTTTGACGTTTATTTTGCCATTATAAGGTTAAAAAGTCTTAATTGTCATCTGGTAATTTTGCTACTAGACAATTAACCCATAGAGACCACTTACCCTTAGATTCAGAATTTGAGTACTAGTATAGAAAGCTCTTTTTAAATCAGAAAAATTTTAAAAGGGTAAATATAGGTGTTGGCCCTATCAGAACAGTTGTTGCAGTGTTAGGTTACTTCAATGTTAAAAACTTGGCAAGATACTAAAATTGTTGAACTTGACACTGTACTGCAAACTATCAAACAATGCAGCACACAAACACAGTTGTTATGATTTATAAGGAGATCATGTTGAATTATCAAAACAGTAAAGAGAATTTTGTTTTAGATTTGGGAGGGAGAGGGTTAGAGTTATTTTTGACAATCAGAAATGTTGATTTCACATAATTTTGGTATGTGAGGGTACATGTAAACAAAATAATGAAATTAACAACTTTTAACAATATTGGACATGCCCCCCCCCCACCTGAATTGTATTTACAATGTATCAACAAAAGCTAATTTAAAGAAAATAGATGGGGAAAGGCAGTTTTCAGTAGATTTTACAAAGGGTAGGGGTCACTTTTTAAAAAATTCTAGGTTTTTTTACTTTTGACAATTTTGGTCCAAAAACGGCCAAAATCACACAAAAAGTGTTAAGAATGGTGAAAAAAATGCATGATTTTGAATGAATTTTTCGAACCCATCGAACCCCCTTGGCTACGGGCCTGACAGGGCTGTTGATGTGTAATATGTATAATTTCACATGTTTCCATGTTTTGGGCATCATGATAAACCATGTCATCTCAAATCTTCTCAGCCCTGAGATGCCATGATATAATGAGCTTGATTTGGCGATCCAGGAGAGCCCAAAATTGAGGATTTTTGAGATCTTTCATCCCATCTCATATTTCATCTAATTGGGGTCATAAAACTTGTGTAACTGTGCCTGTTGTAAAATCTGCTGTTAAATACAATGCCTATTATGTAATATATTGACATTAAGGTAGATGATTACATGATAACAATCACACTTATTGACAGTTATAACTCTTCCCATCTGATGTGCTCAGATCACAGAATATGCCTCATAATATCAGAGCATGTTTCAGGTGAAACAGAAAGATGCTATGAGTATCAGAATGTGTTTTGGGGTTTTCCTTGATAACAGACCTATCTATGTATAATTTCACAGTTTTCCATGTTTTGGGGTTTTCCTTGATAACAAGGCTATCTATGTATAATTTCACAGTTTTCCATGTTTTGGGCTATTCCTTGATAACAGGCCTATCTATGTATGATTTCACAGTTTTCCATGTTTTCACACATTATTCAATGCATTATAAACACAGCAGAGATTATGAAATCTCTGAATGTGTGAATGCATCTTACAAGTGCTTATCAAAGCAAATAGAACAACAGACCACTAATGTTCTAATTTATATACAAACTCAATGCACTGGCTGAACTGTCATAAACAAACTACAAACAAGGCCAGGGGACAGTTTCATACAAAAATTTATGTGCAAATGTTACTCGGTCAGACCTAAGTACATGTATTCTCGAAATGATGTTAGTAAGGCTAAAAGGCTACCATACGATCAAATCTTTAAATAACTACGATTTCACCTATTTAACTAAGAAATCCCCAAAATATCCTTTCATAGGTTGATTTAATACTTTGAACTTACTGCCACCTAATATACATGTTACAGGGTTGGTTTTTCTTTTGCCCTGCTAGTTCCGTTTTGATTCCATTAAAAGAGAGTTTCATTTACATATACTAGGCTTCCATACTCAAAATACCCACAAACCAGAGATTGGCAGTAAGGTACCACAAACCAGAGATTGGCAGTAAGGTACCACAAACCAGAGATTGGCAGTAAGGAACCATGAACCAGAGATTGGCAGTAAGGTACCAAAAACCAGAGATTGGCAGTAAGGTACCAAAAACCAGAGATTGGCAGTAAGGTACCACAAACCAGAGATTGGCAGTAAGGTACCACAAACCAGAGATAGGCAGTAAGGTACCAAAAACCAGAGATTGGCAGTAAGGTACCACAAACCAGAGATTGGCAGTAAGGTACCACAAACCAGAGATTGGCAGTAAGGTACCACAAACCAGAGATTGGCAGTAAGGTACCACAAACCAGAGATTGGCAGTAAGGTACCACAAACCAGAGATTAGCAGGATCATTTAAGCCATATTTGTTTCAATCTGATACTCATAGCATCTTTCTGTTTCACCTGGAACATAAATGGCATCTTAGGGCTGGGAAGAAATGAGATGTCATGGTTTATCATGGTGTCAAAGTCAAATCTTTGCATAGGATATTTATTTTTCTAACCCAAACTTCTGATTTCCTGTTTTGGTCAGTGTATATAATGACCACTGTGAATGACCGCTGTAGACTAAACAAATCTGACTATTTCTAGCTAAACTTCATCATTAATCTTCAGCTATATATAAATCTCCTAACATATGCTTCCTCTATTCGCCTCAATTAGATTTTTTCCAAAGCAAAATTCTCACTTTTTGACCAAAATTGGTAAAAATATGCCAATTTTCCCTAACATATATGATGTGAATAGGTTTTCACTTATGCTATAAGTTTATCTGTTATACGAAGAGTCCAAGGCAAAATTGACTACTCTTTCACAGGGTAAAGAAGTATTTGAACTATTTTGTAAGATGAACATTTATCAATGGCCTTCCCCTATATTTGCACAGGATGAATCATATACTGAAGTATTGGAGTACCAACAATATGGGAAGGTACAATGGCATTCCTGATATTCCCCACATAATTAAGTCTAATATCTGAACCCCCCCCCCCCATTACTTGATCCCTCCCTGCATAGTAAGAATGGGACCATCATGATAAACCATGACATCTCAAATCTTCTCAGCCCTGAGATTCGGGGTGAAACAGAAAGATGCTATGAGTATCAGAATGGAATGGGACTACCTATCTTTAATTTCCATATTCTGAAGGTTTCACTGAAAATTAATTTGGTAATTGAGTATGCATGTATAGTCTTGTTTGACAGAGAAGGAGCCATATGAGAGATCAAACTCCTCTGTCATTCTGATACTCATATAGCATCTTTCTGTTTCACCTGAAACATCTCAGGGCTGAGAAGAAATGAAATATGAAAGTACCAAGATCCATACTGTAAAATCAGTGTATTCCTTCAGTCATATGAGAAAGATTGATGGATCAAGATGACCAAGATCAAACACATTGGAAAGTGTAGAATGAATGGAGAGTGAGTGACAGCATAGGCGTAGCCAGGGGGAGGTGTGCGATGGGTGCGATCGCGACCAATGAAAAAAGAGCTTTAAAATACCTTTTATTTGAAGCTTCTAGCTCAATTTTTAAGGAAGTTGCATTAATTTTTGTAAAATCCAAGATAAATCTTAATTTTTTGGCTTGTTTATGCCACAATCGCACCCCACCCCCCTGACTGAAAACCGAAATATTTTTGGCAATCGCACCCCACTGACTGAAAGCTGGCTATGCCCCTGGACAGTATAGCATATTCTTCTAACATTCTGGTTCATCACATCTTTCTTTTGCACCTAGCAGTGAAATTGATAGAAGGCTGTAATCTCTCACAATGAACCATCAAGGTAAGATCCATATGGTATATGCCTCCATCAATCAACCAAACAACCAATCAATCAAATAAACAAACAACCTTGAACTTTACTGAGGTTTAGACAGCACCAACACTCGAAAAAAGTATATCAGATGTATAAACATGCCCCATAATACAAAATCCTTACATGTTTACACGATTTCCAATTATGTAACTTACTTGTATAACCTGAAGGCCACGAAATTCTATTTATACTTCATTCCATTTTCTAATTCTCCAGATATTTATAACTCAGTATACTCTGCCCAGAAGTTCAACATATACCAAGGCAAACCTATTACGTCCACTAATAATACATTTCCAATCTATGATAAGTAATTATTGGAATTCTAAAGAAAGTCTTCAATTTTGTCTATATTTGGACGTCTGGTGCATCTTACCAGTCTGTCTTCAGACTGAGATTAAGAACAGTTTCCAATATTAATGCACAGAATCTGGTAATCCGTATCCTTTAATAAGTCTAAATATTTTTTTAGTTGATATCACTCAATCCTCTCAATCCTGAATAGATTTCTATTTAGTATGTTGCATCAAGAAATCTTCTAATTTTCATCAGTGTGTATAATTGTTGCATCATGTCTCCTCATGATAATTCAAAATCCTTAAGATCCAAGTGTTCTCAATACCAGACAAATATATCCACAACACTTTTTGGCGATTTCCTCGTTAATGTTACACGAACCACCAGTCAGTTTACCAAACGATAAGTCGAATTCAGATATATCAAATCTGTGTATCCATTTCATTGGCTCGCATTTTTGGAGATCTCAGATTAATGAAGAATTATACAGTGCAAGACGTATGAATGATTGCTCACTTATTGGTCCCAAGTGGGTTCCATTTCCAGACAGTTCTCTGTACTGAACTAAGTTATCTTGGTGTTGTTGAACCCTTGAGCTCATATATGCTGGCTAGCCCTTACAAAATAGTCTAATGCAAAATATGCCTGCTTATATATGCTGGGTTACCCTTACAGAAAAGTCTATAGAGGATGGACCCTCCAGTCCTGAAAAATACTTGGACCCTCACAAAATATTCCACTGCTAGCATAACCTTACAGAATATTCCAATACAAAATACTCAGTGCTGCTATTCTTGAACCCTTACAAAATACCATTGTTTCTTAACCTGTGAAAATACACCACAATATTAACTGTGATAATTTCCTGACAGAGGCACTTATGTAAGGGGAGGGAAGACTCTAGAAATTAAACATTATTGAAAAATAGTTAAATTATTTTGAAGGTTATGAAACAATGAAAGGTTATGAAAGGTTTAAAGGTTATGAAAGGATGCAATGCCAAACTATCAAAAACTATCTTGATGAGCCAGGGTATGGTGGCTAATGGCAGTGGGGGCAGGGCTACTAAACTCATGGGGGAAGCCAGAGGGTACGATCACCCCTACCTCAAAAATTCTCCAACTTATTCAGAGGTTAGTTTAGAATTAAATTGTGTGCTAAGGGTACTCTTTCAAAGATGGTAGCGGCTGTTCCTTTAATCCACATTGGATAATTCCTCGGTCACATTTGATCTAGAGAAACTGTCAAACGGCAGTAGCCTCCAAAAATCGAGAGAAATATACAGCATAAAATTTAGGGATAAGCAGTGTGATGTAGATTTTCTATATCGATTTTGTCAATCTATAGCCACAGTAGAGCAAATGTGTAAAGCAGCTTAGAACAAGGAAGCATCAGATAATCCCTTCAATGCACTCTAGTGACATTTCATGTATTATCACACATAGAGATTATCTCTAATTTAGCTGGATTATCAGCATATTGAAGATAGACCTAGGAATGAAATGTCACAAAATATGACTGAATATAATTAATTCAACTTGTGTGAACATTTTTTATTGAATGGCCAAAAATGCATGAATAAGATGTTTACCAATTGTCAAAATCTAGCTGTTTAATAACAAATTAGACAGAGGCTCAGAACTGATGAAAAGTTTTAAACATGGGAATGTTTACTACCTCTAAGATAAAATCAGCCCTAAATAATAATTTCAATTTCATTTGTTGTACAAAACTAAAAACCGATTAAAATACATAATTTTCTCACATTTATTCAATGTTGTTCTTATTGGCAGCATTTTATTTTCAGTTTGTTTTCAGAATCAAGAAGGTCACCATGGAAACCAATATTAACCCTGCCCTGGTTTAAGTTATAGTTTGTTTACTTCCTAAATAGATAACTGGACTACCCTGCGTGCAGAGTCTAGTTAAACTACACTCTGCCTAGTAGAGACCATATTACAGTTTAGTAGCCCCGCCCCCACGACGGGTACCGGTGACAGTTTGGGTAATAAATCACTTTTGACCTACGTGCTGACCTTTCTTCCACCAATCAGCGACGGTTTGAAGAAACATACGCCAAATGCGTTCTAATAAAATATGCGCATGTCATTGGTCAATTCCGGGCTCAACGATGACGTCAAAAGGAATGACCATATATAGAACGTCGGTCAAATTTGGCCGAGAACACTGATTGGCGCGGTGAGTTCACAGGTTTATTTTAGTTTGAAAGAGTGAAGACGAAGCTCTCTTTTAAGAAGTGAAGTCAAACGAATGCAAAGGGTATAACTGGACCAGGATGGCATGGTTATGAAAGTACAATCAGGGGTCCAGTGCATCCTTGCTGCAAGGGTATTTTACAAGTGAATTTAGGCATAAATGAAGTCCTTTGAAGAAGGATGGTCCAGTGCTCAAATACTGAAATTCTGAACATCACAATCAGGGGTCCAGTGCTCAAATACTGAAATTCTGAACATCACAATCAGGGGTCCAGTGCTTAAAATACTGAAATTCTGAATGTCTGTCTATAACAGGGTTCCTAGGAAGAACTTCTTAAGTTTTAAGAAAATCTGATTAACAAGCTCAATTTTGATTGACCTAATATGAATTAGTAAGGCTAGATCAAAGGATTCTCTGTGTATTAAGATAAAGTGACGATGTTCTCCTTTAAATATACTGAATCAGATCATTATAAAGGGTAGCCCTCCCCCTACCTCAATCTAAACTCAATTCTACTTTTTTCTAATAATTTTGCTTCTTTAAAAGAGAACTTCATGTACAATACCAGAACAACGGCAACGCCAAAGCGTAGCGAATCCCATCGAACAGAAATGGCTGGCATTTTTACAAACGAAGCCCAAATATCATAAAACAACACACCAGAAAGGCCACCATTTTCAAAATGGTTGCTCACTAGCCAAGTTGTCATCAGAAGAAATAATATGCTTTTAAGTACCCACCTCTAAAATTTTTGAAAAATCTCACACGTACTTGTAAAATAACACACATAAAAATGGTGGCCATTTTTCAAAATGGCCGACTACTCCCTAAAGTTTTATTAGACAATGTGCCATGCTTAAAGTATTCACATATCAAATATGAACAAAATCGCTCCACTACTTTTCGAGTTAAAGTAAAATACGTTAAAATGGCAGCCATTTTTCAAAATTGTTTTCAAAATGGCCGCCTTCTACCAAAAGTGTCATAGGACAGTGTGCCATGCTTATAGTATTCACATACCAAATATGAACAAAATCGCTCCACTACATTTCGAGTTATAGTAAAATACGTTAAAATGGTGGCCATTTTTCAAAATGGCCGCCTTCTACCAAAAGCGTCTTTGGACAGTGTGCAATGCTTATAGTATTCACATACCAAATATGAACAAAATCGCTCCACTACTTTTTGAGTTACAGCAAAAATCGTAAAATGACGAGTAAAGGCCGCCATTTTTCAAGATGGCTGCCATGTGCTTCTTTAATATCTACATTTGAAGCATTATTAATGTCCTTTATAATTTTTTTACATTTAAAACATATTGCTATTACAGTTTTACATATTGCACCTAAATTACTGTAAAATCGTCACTAAAATGGCCGCCATTTTGTAATGAGCGGCCATTTTGAAAATCGGCTTTCGAGCAGAACTTCTACTCCTATAGGGTATATGTGTACAAAATATGAACAAAATCGGGCCAACGGTATTTGAGTTATTGCCCGGACGGACGGACGGACAGACAGACGGACGGACGGACGGACGGACGTACGGACGTACGTACGTACGGACGGACGGACGGACGGAGGCGTTCCCTATATCCCTCCGAACTTCGTTCGATGGGATAATAATTAGTCTTGCTTTTTAAGACCTGGACCCCCTCCCCCTATCTATTTTACACCAGTTGTTGTTGAAGTAGATAAGGGGTATCCATAGTCAAGCAAGGCTACAATATACAGACCCGTAGCCAGGATTTGACAAGGGGGGTTCAGTTTTCAAAAATTTCCAAGGGGGTTCATATTTGACAATTTCGGCCCAAACATGGCTAAAATCACTTGAGAAGTGCTCAAAATGGTGAAAAAACTGCTTGATTTTGGAAGAATTTTTGGCCAGGGGGGCGTGGGTTCGCCCGAACCCTGGCTACAGGCCTGATATAATACTCAGCTCTGACATCCAGGGTATAGTATGGGCAAAGTTATTCTGAACATTCCAAAAGGTTCAAAGCAATTAACAGATTTAAGATGAGATACACCTTTCTGAGTTGTAACCCTCTCCTATAATTTCTCCAAGATCATGCTTATTCCACTCTATTCCTCTCTAAAATATAAATGAAATATCTCAATTTTGGCATCTCTGTACAATTAAGAGCTTTGACAGCATCTCCATTTCTTGAATTTTTTCAGACTTCTCTCTTTCCACTCTATTTCACATTTCAAAACATGAATAGCTTAACATTGACTTCTCAGAAATTATCTTGGTTTAGACTTCCTCGTTCCAAGGTATATGATGTAAACATTGAGCGACCAATCAGATTACTCTTATTCTAAAACGTAAATAATCAAAGATCCGGGAAGGCATGAGATAATGGTCTTTATTTGTTTGTGGAACTTCAGAATACTAAAGTACAAAAGTATTATTTTGTCTTCATTGCTGTGATTTGGTACCAAACTTTTGACTCTTCTTGACTTTCTGTTTTCAAATGAGCAATATTGGAAAAGAAACTGATGGAAGGTTGTGATTTCCCACAATTGGCTATATAGATCTTTGTAGTCACATTAAACTTTTGTATCACCCATCCACTCTCTTGCTAATGCTGTAGTCACATTTCCTCCTACCTTCAATACTTGTGTCCAGCCGATGAGTATTTTGTTCAAAACTGAATGCAATTTTGAACAAAATACTCATCCGCCAGGCAACAGTACTGAAAATCAGAGCAAATGTGACCATGGCATACGGGTATGATTAATGAGGATGAGAGCTTGAAGAGGATACATAATGGAGTTTTTTTTAGAGAATTGAAATCATACGATTAGAAAGGGTACAGTAGTATCAGACTGAAATATATTGAGTAATAACTACATGTTAAAAATAGAGTAGATCTTACATAAGAGCCAATGGGGAAAACCAGTCTATCCAGAGAAAATACAACATCTAACTTGCCAAGGATTTTTGGAGGCTAACATCAAAGTGTTGAAAACTGAACAAAGCCGTATACTTTTACTTAACTCAGACTTGACAGGAGATCAAAGAAAAATATACAACAACAAATGTTGTAACAAATGACATAACAAGAAAGAACCTATATTTTACATACTGCATTATCTCAGCTACAAATACATTCATCATTTTAGAAAAATCTATACTATGCATGTGAGAGATCACGGCCTCCTATATCAGTGCCTTCCAGTGGAAGGTAAATTCTTTGCAAAGCAGAGATGGTCTGAATATCATAATGTATATGATATAGCAGGCCAGTAGCCAGGGAGGGGGATCGGAGAATTCAGGAGATCTGACCAGGGAGGGGGGTTGGAGGATTCAGGAGATCTGACCAGGGAGGGGGGGTCG